CACCTCAGCCTCCCAAAGGTGCGGGATTACAGGCTGAGCCACCAAGCCCGGCTACTTTTTAATTCTATTTTCAGAAATGGGAGAACAAATGATCCAGCAAATTAGTATCTGGATTCAGCTATACTTTTTCTTTTTTAAAAAATGTGTATAAATGTAGGGGGAACAGATGCTATTTCCATACATGGATCCATTACTCAGTGGTGAAGTCTGGCTTTAAGTGTAACATCACCTGAGTAGTGTACATTGTAATTTCTCATCCCTCATCCTCCTCCACTGAACTGAGCTACATTTCATTTAGTAAGGTATGTAGCTATTTGTGGCCATATACTATGCTACACTTGTAGCTAAATTTAATGGGAACATACATCCTAGATGCTTAAATGCTTAAATACGTCCAGAGAAGAACAGGTGAATGTGTAACTAAATACACGCATCCATCTGCCAAGTCCTGTCTTGCATTATTGCCACGTGGCAGGCATTACCCGGTGGGCTGGGGAAACTACCCTGAAAGGCTACCACTGACATCTTCAGCCAGCTCCAAAGAGGACAATCTAGTATTTTTTACAACTCTGCTGTTAGTCTAAAAATATAAATCCAGGCTGGGCATGGTGGCTCATGCCTGTAATCTCAGCTCTTTGGAGGCTGAAGTGGGAGGAAAAATGACCTGGGTATGTTGGCACACATGTCTGTAGACTCAGCTACTTGGGAGATTGAAGCAGGAGGATTGCTTGAGTCCAAGAGTTTGAGGTTGCAGTGAGCTCGACTATGTCACTTCACTACAACATGGATGACAGAGCGAGATCCTGTCTCTAAAAACTTAGAGTAAGTGAAAATAAAAATACAAGTCTATATGAGCACAATTAAATTGGAAGTAGTAGTAGGAAAAGCAAACTATTCCAATTAGCTAATTTCCTTTTAAGGTAGGACTAAGCTGCGGTTTAACCTAGTCATTTAAGATTCAAAATTTTAAAATTATATTTTTATTTCTAGAAATCTTAATTAGTTAGCTTCCAAATTTGTCTAGATTTATCTGCGGACTCTTACAGTGGTCTGTAATTTTTAATTTATCTTTTTTTTTTTTTTTAACTCATTTTTACTTTTAAAAAACAGAGACAGGTCTCACAATGTTGCCCTGGCTGGTCTTGAACTCCTGGTCTCAAGTGATTCTCTCAAAGTGCTGAGATTACAGGGATGAGCAACTATGCCTGGCCAGGTTTGTAAGTTTTTTGCTTTTGAAGTTGGGATCTTGCTCTGTTGCCCAGGCTGGCATGCTGCAGCATGATCATGGCTCACTGCAGCCTCAAACTTCTGGCCTCAGGTAATCTTCCTGCCTCATCAGTCTTCTGAGTAACTAGGACTACAGGTATGTGTCACCAGAGCCAGCTAATGCTGTTTGTTTGCTTGTTTGTTGGTAGAGATGAGGTCTTGCTATGTTGCCCAGTCTCAAACTCCTGGGCTCCAGAAATCTTTTCACCTGGGTCTCCCAGTGTGAGTCATTGCACCCAGCCAGGATTGTAACTTTTGATTGTGAGTTTCTGTCCAGTAGGATGCTATCTGGAGAAATCCTGTGGGATGGTCTGGGTATATCCTTCACAGAGGTTTTACAATTGCTTCTGTTACCATCCTGGGAGTACTTTTATTTTATTGGCTTAATGAAAAAATTTAAACATGTCAAAAAGTAAAAAGAACAGTATAATGAACTCCCATGTAATGCCCACTCAGAATACACCTCTCACCACTGAATTATTTTATTATTTTTCAGAGACAAGGTCTTGCTATGTCATCTAGGCTGGACTCAAATTACTGGGCTCAAAAGGCTCTCATATCTCAGCCTCCTGAGTAGCTAGCACTATAGGGACACGCCACAGAACCTCCACTGGATTATTTTAAAGTAAACCCCAGATGGCATACCATTTTACTTCAATGTGTATTTCTTTTTACAGGATTCTTAAAAAGAATACTAAACCAATAATTGCTTAGTATCAGCAATTTTCACTCTGTGGTCAAATTACCCTGATTTCCATTCTCTTTCTCTAATTTACTTAAAGTGAGAGATGGAAGAAGGGAGGAAAATGGGGTGGAGAGAGGGAGGGAGAGAAGGAGGGAGGAAGGGGGAGAGAAAGAGAGAGAGAGAGAGAGGAGGGGAGAGAGAAGGGGGACTGAAGCAGGATCCAAACAAGTCGGGTCATTTTTCACATTAATGTCTCAGCTTACCATTCCCAAACCAAGCTGGCGGTGCACGTCTAAACCCTAAGGATTTGTGAGGGCTTCTGGTCTTTAGGAAGATTCCTTCCACTCCTCATTCCCAACACAAGGACGAGCAAAATTCTTTACCACTTTCTGATGCCAAGGGGAATGTTTTTTCCAGACTTCTTTTCACAGAGCGGGTAGCACCAAGAGTCCTTGGCTTTACCTTGACTTTACCCTAGTGTCTCAGTTCCTACTTTCTACTTTGTATAGACCCAAGGCCTCTTCTCTGCACTTGGGTAGCAATTAAAACGCAAGTCCCCAGTGTCCTACATCTTGTTTTGTGTGGCAGACACACGTTTATACAATTGTCAAAATGATTGAGCACTTAAGAATTGCTTATTTTATTGTATGTGAGTTACACATTAATTAAAATATAACCCAAGCCCCTCGATTATTAAAATCACCTCTCCCGGTCAGCATCAGCACCAACTCCTCTTAATACATGGGCTTTTAATTTTCTTTTTGTTTTTTGCTCCTGGGATGCCCCTTGCTTTCCCTTATTCTCATCTACATGTATTTCAATGATGTTTATTGTATTTTCCCCAGATTCTCTTAGTGTTTTGTAGTGTGAGTGTTAGCAAATTCTTTAGACTAGTGTTCTCAACCAAGGGAGATTTTGTCCCTAAAGGATATTTGGCAACTGTCTCTGTCTCTGTCTCTGTCTCTCTCTCTCTCTCTCTGTCTCTCTCTCTCTCTCTCTCTCTCTCTCTCTCTCTCTCTCTCTCTCTCTCTCTCTCTCTCTCTCGATAGGGGTCTCATTATGTTGCCCAGGCTGATCTCAAACTCCTAGTCTCAAGCAATCCTCCTGCCTCAGCCTCCCAAAGTGCTGGGATTAAAGGTGTGGGACACCACTTCTCGCCTGGAGATATTTTTGGTTGTCACAGCTAGAATGAGAAGCCAAGGATGCTGCTAAACATCCTACAATAAATTGGACAGTTCCCCACAACAAAGAATTACTTGGCCCCAAATGTCAAGGGCACCAAGATTGAGAAGCTCTAATTTAGATCATCCTATGCCATTAGAACTTTATTGTAGAAATGTTTGTCTTTCACCTTTGTATTTCACAATGACACAGTCTAGTGATTACTCATTAGGAAGATATCTTGCCTGAAAGTTTGCTTTAGAATTCCCCAAAGAAGACTTTTCAAAAAAAAGTATGGGAAAAAGGGAAGATTGTGACAATGTATGTCTTCATCTTTTGCATCGTTACAGTGCTAAGATACAAACTGCTGTTAGAGTAACATTTCAAAATTAATCACAGAACAAATTAAAGGAGTGTAGAGCTAATATTAAGAGCCTTGAGATAATCACGTAACAATGAAAAGTTTGTATGCCTGATGTATATATTTGACAAATTATAACTTTACATTCTAATCTGAAGTTCACCAGTAAATGATTGCCCATATATTCTGGATAAGCGATGAGAAATCAAGCTGGATCCCTTTAGTGGTTACTGAAATTCAAGAACACCATCCTGGGCAACACTCCCCACTGAAAGCATTGCTTCTACTACTTTTTACCATCTAGAACTGTTGGGTATGCTTCTGCTGCAGTACTAATAACATGGTATTCCTGGTTGGGATACACTGGTTGCAAGACAAATGAACACAAGGCAAGACTTGGGTTTCAAGCTGTGGAAAAGTCTATTGATCTTATTTTTATGGCTATATTTCAGGTTACCAGCAGATACAGAGAATACACAATGAACACCCCTTTTCCTTCCAAACAGCTTAAGAAATAAAGCCTTACGGATAGAACAGAAGCTTCTGTGGAACTCTCAGGATTCTGTTCCCTTCCTTCCCCAGAAGTAACCTCTCTCCTGAATTAGATGTTACTCGCTCCCATTCTTGGTTTTATTTTCATATTACGTGTGCAATCCATAAACAATATATGTTATTGCTGTGCTTGTTTTTAAATGTATACAAATGCTGTTAAATATATCTTCTTAAAAAACAAAGCTAGGTGTGGTGGCTCACACTTGTAATCCCAGCACTTTGGGAGGCAGAGGCGAGAGGATTGCCTGAGCCCACAGGTTTGAGACCAGCCTGGGCAACATGGAGAGAACTTTTCTCTACAATGAATCAAAAAAAATTAGCCAGGCGTGGTGGTGCACACCTGTAATTTCAGCTACTCGGCAGGCTGAGGCGGAAGTATCACCTGAGCCTAGCAGGTGGAGGCTGGGGTGGCCACAAGCGTGCAACTGCACTCCAGCCTGGGTGACAGAGTGAGACTGACTAAAAAAAGAATAGAAAAAATGAAAACAACTCCTCCACCCACATATCTTCTATATCTTTCTTGTGTTCCTGATAATTCCCTGCATTTATAGCAACACAAATCAAGAGAAGAAGCAAATGGAATTGAATGTATTCAGCTTCTCTCTCTTTAAAGAAAAACTCATCTGTAGTTGGTTGAATTTGTCCCCAAATTCACCTGCCTACAGTGCAATGTGCCCTTTTCTACTACATGCCAATGAAACTGGTTACTGAAATTCACACCCTTACACCCAGAGACGGGAGTGGTCACTAATACCTACAAGCTTGGAGTCCAGTTCTACTGTATGAAAAACACTGGAATAAAAAGTTTTCCTCAGGCTTCTATGCAAGGGTAGTTATTGAATACAGGTGGTGAATTCACTGCAACTGTTTCTACACAGAATTTGCTATGCCCACCTCGTGTGTTTTCCAAGGAATATTCATAGCACAACAGAAACCAGATTTGACCAGTCTATTTTCCAATATAAAACATCACATGCTTGGAAAGCAGACAACTGAAAACATAAAAGCCTTTATTTATAAGTGAATGACAAAAAATAATGGCTAGATATTTTTATCCCTTCCATTTCAGAAGGTAAGTAGAGGAGTGAAGGAGATAAGAGTAAAAACATTAGCTGGGTTTTAATAGTTCTTAGGATTCAAAGAAGCTGGTCTCAGAATAATACATTAGAGTCAGATTTAAACCAGGACACTCCCCTTAGAGAGACAACTGACATGATTATTGTTCTCTTTTCAGATACACAGGCAAGCCTGCTGATATTTTACACCAGGTTGGTTCAGCAGCTGTTAGAGAAGGCAAACATTTAGTGCTCAGAAGATTCATGGAGGGATGGAAGCACACTGCTGATTAGACCAAATGGCTTATTCAGAAAAAAGGTAGGCTGGGCACAGTGGCTCATGCCTGTAATCCCAGGACTTTGGGAGGTTGAGGTAGGAGAATTGCTTGAGGCCAGGAGTTTGAGACCAGCCTGGACATCATAGTGAGACTCCCATCTCTACAAAATAAAAATTAAAAAATTAGCCCCAGGCATGGTGGCCACACTTGTAATCCCAGTTACTCAAGAGGCTGAAGCAGATGGATCACTTGAGCCCAGTAGCTGGAGGCTACAGTGAGCTATGATTGTGCCACTGCACTCTAGCGTGGGTGACAGAATGAGACTCTGTCTAAAAAAAAAAAAAAAAAAAAAGATGCAAGTTATCTTTATTTTTCCCCACACACCTGCAGCAAGGACTTAAGATTGTTATTACCAAGTTCCTTCCCACTTCTACTAATAGACTCCCTCAGTGGAGCAGAGTCTGAGAAAGAACAAAAGTAGCAACGAGGAAGTAGGGTAGGATGCTAGGTTGAAGAATGTGTTTCTCAAAGGTTTTAGGAATTGAACAAAATATGATGTTTTAATGTGTTTAATATCTAATCAGTTAGCATGGTGATCAACGATCTTATACAGAAGTACAGCCAAAAGGCTTTGGAATTACAAGAGTAACTGGTCAGGGAGATTTTTAAAAATTCAGGCAAGATATTTTTTTACCATGAGTGATAGCTAGACACAAAGAAAGGCTAAGGTGGCATCAAAATAAAGCTGCGACAGAGATTTCGGTTTAGAGCTGTAAGCTGGTTTGGATAATCACAAATGGACCAGTGCTAAGGGCCATGGAGTGACTATGTCCAATACATGCACAGCAAAGAAAGCTCAGCAACTTTTTGAGAAAGAGAGGACAAATAAAACTTCAACAGACATGCTGACTAATTTTGAAAGTGTGCTTACTAGCCACCAAGCCTTCTCTCAAGACTCAACTTTCAACCTTATCTAGGTCAGGGCTGTTTATAGTCCTTATCACTTTTCCTTACCTAAGTATATCACTGATAGTAATTTCGGGGATGAACTTTTGAAGGTACTTCACCGTCTCACCAAGAAAACAGGCTTTATACATTTCATTAACTCCATAGGAGAAATTCTGGGATGCCAGTTTAATCAAGCCACTGAAAGCAGAGGAAAAAAATCTTTATAAGAGAAAGAAATGTATTATTACTATAAAACATCTTTACAACGATTAGGTTTTTTTGATGGCAACACAGAAATCTAGGCAAAGTCAGAAGAGCTACAAATTAAAAGAAAATCAACTTCTGGCCAGTATCAGAAGAAAACTTCATCAACTCAGGAGGCAAACATCTTCTAAACTCAAATTCCCAAAGAGTGCTGTTTTCAAACTGGGATTTTTTTTTTCTTTTTTTTTTTTTTAGAGTAAGTAGGAATTTATTAGAAGGCAGGAAAGCTCCTGGCAGCTGGAGGGGACCTGAAAGAGGGTGGCCTTGTTTTTTTTTGAGTTGGAGTCTTACTCTGTTGCCCATGCTGGAGGGCAGTGGCACGCTCACGGCCACTCGCAGCCTGAAACTGCTGGGCTCAGACAATCCTACTGCCTCAGCCTTCCAAGTACAGGCATGTGCCACCACACTTGGCTAATTCTTTTTGACAAGGTCTCACCAAGTTGTTCAGGTTGGTTTCGAACCCCTGGGCTCAGGCAATCTTCTTGCCTCTGCCTCCCAAAGTGTTGGGATTACAGGCATGAGCAACTGCGCCTGGCCAAGAATCTGCATCTTAGGTCAACATAATCTTATTGTTAGTTTTCTACAAAAGGAAATGACTTTGGTTATCAGTAATTTCTCCAGTGGTTTACAAAATAATGGTGACTGGCTTGAAGTAATCTTAGCAAAATAAGCCATCTGCTGATTTTGAGAGAAACAACTTCTTTTTTTTTCCTCCCAAATCAACTGGAAGGTTAGCAATATAAAATTTGGGTTGCCAGAAGTGTGAATGGCTTATGGTCTTACCTTCTTTTTAACAAAGACATCAGCCTGTCAGTCTGGCTCATCTGAATGTTCTTGAGAGTTAAAACATTATGCTTACTCTACAAAGTTATTAATTTGGAATAATAAAAAAATACCAGTCACAAATACAAGGACTTACCCAATAAGTAGAATATTGAGAAAGACAAAATTTCCCACATTAAAACATATAAATACATGAAATCATTTTAAAAGAAATAAAGTTGTTACCTATTGATAATTATATCCACAACATCTCTGACACTGAAGTCAAAGGGTCTGTAACCCTCCCGCTTAAAGGCAAGAATTGCATTAGGCCCTAGCCAAATACTGCCATCCATCCTTGGTGTGAAGTGAACTCCCAGGAAAGGAAACCGGCTATCTGGGACCTACAGATTTAACACAGCAAGGAACTATTAGTCCCATTTTACATTCTATTATAGATTCAAACATTCAACTGGTAATATAAAACACTTTCTTCCCATGCATTTAATTTGCATTGTGAATTGTATTCAGATATACTTTTCTTTTCTTTTTCTTTGAGTTGGAGTCTCACACTGTCAACCAGACTGCAGTGCAGTGGCTGCTCCCAGCCACCGCAGCCTTGACACTGCTGTTCTCTGGCGATCCTTCCGCCTCAGCCTTCCAAGGAGCTGGAACTACAGGTGTGCGCTACCATGCCCAGCTAATTTTTAAATTTATTGTAGAGATGAGGTCTCACCGAGTTGCCCAGGCAGGTCTCGAACCCGTGGGCTCAGGCAGTCCACTCACCTCAGCCTCCCAAAGCATGGGATTACAGACTGAGCCACCGAGCACGGCTCAGATATACTTTTCTATTACCATGCTTCTGCTTTGAAATGCCACACAAGAAACACTGATGCTATTGACACTAATACATGCTTTCCCATCTATGCATCTTTCTGGATTAAAAAAAAAAAGATGAATTATCCTACTTCAGGTTACTCTCACTCTCTCCCACAACAAGGGATACCTGTGACTGACAAGTAAAATCAAAGCTGTCAGAAAAAAACACACACTCATAGCACAGGCTTTTGCAAAATGGAAATATATGAAGTTGAAGAGATGAAATGATGTTTTGGCAAGGTCAAAAACATCAAATACCCGAATCCTGACTTTTTCATTTGGTTCAGTCTCATGTATTTTAAGGAATTCATTAACTTCTAGGGTAGTTCCAGACAGAAGAAAGAACTCTTCACTTAAAAACCTCTGTCTTCTACTTCCTGAAACTACAGGGTGACCACATCCCTTTTCTGTGCCTATAGATAGTGAACTGAGAAGAGGGTTGGGTACCAGGGACTTCCATAAGGGAAAGTTCTCTTCGGCGTGCTCCCTCCACCAGAGGGACAGCACTTCCCAGGGTGCACTCATGCTCTCTGGAGACATGTACTTGCAGGCGATTCATTATAATTTAATGACCATGAGGTCAGGAAAAAGATAAAGCAATTTAACCACAAGAGAAACAGATAAAAATGCTTACACAAACAGCCCTTCCAAATCTCTATTACTTCTGACCCAGGCAGAAGCTTTCGTTTTTCATTCCCTTAATGCCCATAACCATCTTGAGAAGAGGAAGAGGAGGCAGACGGAGCATTACCTACCGGATAAATATTTCCTTTTACGAGATAGCATTTTTCTGGCTTCAGGAGCAGGTAATCTCCCCGGAATGGCACAATTCGAGGATTGGGATTGCAGCCACTCAACTCTGAAATACGGTCTGAGTAAAGGCCTGCACATGTCACAACATACCGACATCGAATTTCCTCTCCCTAGAGCAGGATAAGAGAACCATGATTTGTATAAAGCAGAGAGGAGCAGGCTAGGTCAAGGGGGAAAAGCATAATGAAAAGGAAAAAAAGGGCACAGACGTAGAATTCCCTTCAAAAGAGGAAATCCAATGTAGGTATTGGTAAAATAAATTCATCAGCATTTAGGTGGCAGCTAGAAACCAAGGGTAGTGGCATGCAAGAAGATGTCACTTTAAATTGTGCACTTTAAACAGGAGACAATAATAGTTGACCTAGCAAGGACACCTAATAAACTCCATATGCACACATGCACATACACAAAACTACTTTACTAGGACCTAGAAGGGAGCTTCTTAACAAAGAAGCAAACGTCCACAAATTTGGCCTCCTTTGTACTACAGATAGCTTCCCCTGTCTGATCTGAGTAATTACCCTATTATTTTTTGGTTGCTTCACACTCAATAATCCTGCTCAGTTCCAGCTATAACCTACTCATCAACCAATCTCTCCTTACTCATCAATATCTACTTTGTGAACTGAGGCTACTTTAGAAATCTCATTCATTCAGTCCACATTTACTGAGAGCACACACTAAGGCCAAAGCTTGCTTTATTGACTAGGAGACTGCTATTGTTAGGCTGTTGTGAGTTCCCACATCATGAGTTTTGTGATTACCATCTGCATATTTTTAGCTTCATCTGTCAATTTGCCTAAATGACTTCATTTAAGCCCCATTCGCCACCACACTCGAATTCCCATTTTTTTATTTCTTGCAGAGTAAACTAGCAACTCTTCATTCTTATTCTTACATTTTCTTCTCAGCTGACCTATTTCTGAAGTCTTGAAGTTCTCACCTGTCTAAACATTTTTCTTTCCAGCCCTCACTGATTTAACCTTATTCTATTGAACTATATTTTTACCTCTCTCTGCGTCCTATTTTTGCCCTTGCTAGAAAGTTAAGTCTCTTCTCAAGTGTTATACATGTCACATTTTTTATAAAAATCAGATGAAACCTTTCCATAGTGAATTCAAATTAGCTAGGCAAAGCCATGATAGTTTCAAGACTTTTGAAGTCAAAGAACTGTCAGCAACAACAACAATACCTTCTAAGTAGGCTAATATTTGGAGGCCAGGTACAGTGGCTCGGCCTTATAATCCTAGCATTTTGGGAGGCTGAAGCAGGAGAATTGCTTGAGCCAAAGAGCTTGACACTAGCTTGAAAACAGAGTGAGAACTCATCTTTACAAAAAAAAATTTTTTTTTAATTAGTCAAGTGTGTGGCGTGTGCCTGTAGTCCCAGCTACTCAGGTGGCTGAGGTTGGAGGATTGCTTGAGCCCAGGAGCTCAAGGACAAGGCTACAGTAAGCTGGGATTGTGCCCCTGCACTTCAGCCTGGGCAACAAAGTGAGACCTTGGTTTCAAAAAAGAAGAAGAAGAAGAAAAGATAGAAAATAGGCTGGCTGGGGACACTGGCTCATGTCTATAATCCCAGCATTTTGGGAGGCTGAGGTGAGAGGACTGCCTGAGCCCATGGGTTCAAGACCAGTCTGGGCAACTTGGTGAGACCTCGTCTCTACAATAAATCAAAAAATGAGTCAGGTGTGATGGCATGTGCCTGTAGTTCCAGCTACTTAGAAGGATAAGGCAGAAAAATCACCTGAGCCCAGCAGGTCAATGCAGTGGCTGGGAGCATACCACTGCAATCTAGCTTGGTCAATGGAGTTAAGACTCCTATTCAAAAAAAGAGAAAAGAAAATAGGCTAATATCTTTCCTATTCATCTAGAGTTATATGTCAGAAGAATGAAAAATATTTTTATGTGATACAAATTTACTAATTCCTACTTAAAAGATCAACAATTCTTTGGTTCTTGGAATATAAAATGCAGATAAGCCTTTTGATAAATGCAAAGATAACAAAAGAATTTGTAGAATGAGCCCAGCATGCAATAACCTAATAATTCTCTCTCTTTTTTTGAGTTGGAGTCTCACTCAGTCGCCCATACTGGAGTGCGGTGGCTGCTCCCGGCCACCACAGCCTTGCCTGCTGGACTCCGGCCATCATTCCGCCTCAGCCTTCTGAGTGGCCGGAATTACAGGCACACGCTACCATGCCCGGCTGATTTTTTGATTTATTGTAGAGATGAGGTCTCACCAAGTTGCCCAGGCGGGTCTCAAACCTGCGGGCTCAGGCAATCCCCTCACCTCAGCCTCCCAAAGGACGGGATTACAGGCTGAGCCACCGAGCCCGGCATAATTCTCTTTTTTTTTTTTTATAAAAACTCTTAATACTACAAGAAAAGGATTGACAGTAGTGGGAAACTGCGGGGGGTGGGGGGGCAGGAAGGTGGGTTTGGCAGTAGTGAGGCATACCTCATCAACAAGGGTACCTGCATAATGAATATTTGTATACCTAACTCTGAATTGTATCCCACAATTTTAAAATAACAAATTTAAAAGTTAAAAAAAAACTCAAGCAACTGGACAGATGTGCTGGCAGATGCCAATAATCCCAGCACTTTGGGAGGTGGAGGCAAGAGGATTGCCTGAGCCCAAGGGTTTTGAGATCAGTCTGGGCTACTTGGCAAGACCTTGTCTCTACAATAAGTCAAAAATTTAGCCAAGTGTGGTGGCATACACCTGTAGTTCCAGCTACTTGGAAAGTTGAGACAGGTGGATCACCCAAGCCCAGCAAGTCGAGGCTTCTGTAGCCACAAGTGTGCCACAGCACTCCAACCTGGGCAACAGAGTTTTTTAAAACTCAAAAACAAAATAAAACAAAAGCCCTCAAGCAACAGTTCCAAAGAAATAAATTATTAAAAACTGTGACAGGCTAGGCACAGTGGCACACACCTATAATCCCAGCACTTTGGGAGGCTGAAGTGAGAGGATTGCCTGAGCTCACTAGTTCAAGGCCAGCTGGGGCAACTTGGTGAGACCTCATCTCTACAATTAAAAAAAAAAAAATTAGTTGGGTGTGATGCACACCTGTAGTTCCAGTTACTTGGAAGGCTGAGGTAGAAGGATCACCTGAGCCCAGCAGGTTGAGGCTGCAGTGGCAATGAGTGTGCCACTGCACTCCAACGTGGCTGACAGAGTGAGATTTCAACTTACAAAAAAAAACCTGTTACAGGTCTCTTAAGCTATACACAAAATAATAACTAAGTTCATTAATATTCAAACTAAATTTAGGTAAACATCAAATGATACGTTTGTTCAAACATAATTTTTTTTGAGTTGGAGTCTCACTCTGTTGCCCAGGCTGGAGCGCAGTGGCACCTCACAGCCACTGCAGCCTCAACCTGCAGGGACTCCAGTGATCCTTCTGCCTTAGTCTTCCACATGGCTGGTTGGTATGCCTTCATTCATTCATTCATTCATTCATTCATTTTAGAGATGAGGTCTCACCAAGTTGCCCAGGCTGGTCCCGAACCTCTGAGCGCAGGCAATTCTCTTGCCTCTGCTTCCCCAAGTGCTGGGATTACAGGTGTGAACCACCACGCTTGGCTAAATTTCTTTAAAAACAAAAACAAAACACCTCTACTGCTTTTTCATAAGGGAAACAGACTTTCTCCCCATTTCCAATGTATAAATCTTTAATTAGCAAATATTCCCCAAAAGCTTTTTTTTTTTTGAGTTGGAGTCTCACTCTGTCGCCCAGACTGGAGTGCAGTG